GCCCTCGTAACTCCGTTCCGAATGATGTGTGGCACCTGGAAACAGCATATTTGGCATCAGCGTACCAGGCCGATTGCAAATATATGTGTCTTATTCCGAAAACGCGAGCTAAGTTAGGTAGCTTCCCTCGTTAGAATCCGATGCTCAGTCAGAAATGCGGAACCATCTCACAACGAGCAAATAAGTCTTGCCGTGGACAGAAGACTGACAGATCTCTCACAGTGGATGTGTTCACACTGATCGTAAGTTTCCGAACACTTCTAGCACAGCTCTCGAGTTGTGGGTTGTGCTGGAAACTGTTCCAGACTCACGGATCAGTATGAATCCAGCCTCTGCCCTTCACTTGCGTCATCCTCAATCTTCTCATGAGTTCAGCGGTGGTGGTCTTGCTTAAACTTAGTGATTCGTATTCAAAGTACTCCTCGATTGGGTCCTCCGTTTAGAACACATCTGAACATTTGGTGGACTTCCTCGAATGCATCATTTGGACGGAAGGCATTCATCTCACAAGGGAAGGATACTTAATCGCAGTGACGGTTGGGTAAGCGGTGTATACCGAGTATACCGTAACCAGACGGCGATCTCTAAACCGCATTCCATATCTGCTATGATGTCATTCTGGAGGAGTTATAAAGGATTTTTGGTGCAGTGGATAGTGGCTTGGACTGCAGAGCTGGACGTCGTGGGTTCGATTCCTCTGGGAGGCCACTCGTTTTGCATTTTTGTAAATCTTAGCAGGCAGATTGCAAAACCTGTCTACATTTAAAAAAGTTGATTTTTACAATTTGAAGCAATATATTTGCATTTATTGGCACTGAAACACCGTCTAACCTAAAAAACAGTCGTTTTTAGCTCTTTTCATTAAAAACTTTACCCAATTTTACATTGAAAGGGCTTCATGAACACATATGATATGAAAGCACAAAATGTGCTTTACAAAAAACACATTCACAGTGTGCACAACGAATATAAAGAATGTCTTCGCAGCCGTTTACACTACATGCTCCCGTCAAATCTTGAGCGAAGCAAAACTGCAACGGGGTTTCGAAGAGACCGGGGTGTTCATCAAAATATCCGGCAGCGAACCAGAAATACTTGAGAAAGTTAGAAAACTTAGGAGAAGTAAATTGGGCGTATATGAGTGACAATAACTTTATTATTGAGTCCCTACTGTGCAAGCAAAAATCTAGATTATGAGCAAATGACGTGGGAGCTGAATCTTTTGTACATCGATTTGAATTGTAGGAAGAAAAATATATCTAATGGTTGTATTCTACCAGTGGTTCCAAGGGGAATATTCTTGATTTTTATCTGCTGACCATCCGGCACAGCAGCTTCAATAGTGAGTGGTCCCTAAAGGATGTCCATGGATCCACTAACAACAACACGCTCGCAGAGGTGTTCGCAGAAAATAGACATGTTTTAACCCAATCTCAGTTCTTTGTTCATGATATGGGTAGAGTTGGCTCGAAGCTCTAAATTGTCAGCCTGGAAGTAGCCTCTCGTGGGAAAGCATCCGTTTCTTTCCTGTCGAAAAAAAAGTTGGTCAACTGTATTGAGCGTCGCTGCTTATGTACCTGCATTACAACAAAGAGTTTCTTTCCCAGTGCCCATCCGCATAGATGATGGGCATGACTGTGAAGGAATGGCTGGTGGCTGGGACTGATTGCACCACCCGCAGGGCAATCCTCGAGCCTTTTAATGCCAGCGACTGACCCCGTGCATTTCCTTCAAAAATGCACTCTGGTCGGCATTGCAAATGGCACTAAAAGGCCAATGCTCCATCTCTATAATAAAATCTCAAAATTCATCATATTTTGACCAAATAAATTTTTTTACCTGAATTCACCTCCGCCACAAAAGCGCGCGCTGCATCAGCTAGCCGACCGCTGTCCAGGAAGTTTTTCCTAGAGGTGAAAGAAGTGATGTGTCGCGAGACTATACCACTCCTTTTTTTGAACTCCTGGATCCAGCGGTGGCTAGGTTTAAATCCGTCGATATTAAATTCCTCAAAATTCATTTTCAATGCTAGACGACGGATGTCGTTGTCATGCAGCGCTGCACCCATTTCGAATTTCAAATAAACTTCGCTGCGCAACTTCTGGGCAAGTCTCCGCAAACGTATCCTCCTGTTCGCTCGAATGCGCCCTAGGCAGGGATAGTAAGTTTTCCTTTTATCAACCTACGTTGTTCTTCTAAATCCCTTAATTTTCGTAGATGGTAGCTTGTCGAAATGAAGCGAAACCTGTTCTTCATCACCTTAAGTGTGCGGCTACTCTTTGCTGTTGAGCGATAGAATGAAATCGCTCTCTCCACCTGCATAGTATTGGCAATGAGTGCAAAGGCTAAAACAAAGAAAAAACCACGTACCATATCCTCTGAAACTGTCGTGTTTCCAAATGTAATCGAGCCTTCCGTTCTCCTTGATCGACCCTCCTCTTCTTCTCCCGACCACTCAGATAATCGCCGGGGGCAGGCGGTCCGCAAACTCGCGCTTTTCTGCAGGCGGTCAGCAGGATTTCGGGGCGTGGCCAAATCTTCAGCGGGCGGTATTTGCGTTTTCTGCAAGCGGGCATCAATACAAAATTTTCTGCAAGCGCTCGTCAAATCTTTCAGCGAGCGCTGGCCAAACTTTCAGCAGGCGCTCAGACTCTTTTTACGCAGTTTCGGGCGTACGCCGAGAAAAGATGAGACTCTATGTGGCAGAGGTGCCATCGATGGTTTTATTACCCAAGTTTGGGGTACTTTCTTTCAGCGGAAAGTACCTGAGGGCTGTGCGGTCCTTCAAAAAGGACCGTGCGGCTCTCAACAATTTTGCATGTTCTCGCGGAAAAACCGCGAATGCGGCCACTGTGCCGCAACTTATGTATAGAAAAACCGCGATAGATCTTCGAGCGTTCGTCTAAAAATTGGCCAAAATTATTCCAAATTTCTGCAAGCGGACCACAAAAAATCAGCGAACTATTTTTCCGGTGCCCGCTTGCTCAAAATTTGCATGGCCGCTTGCCCCCGGCGATTATCTGAGCATGTGGAGTCGAGTTGATTTTCAACGGTGACAATCTCTTCGTCGCTCTCAACCTCCAGGTTTTTATAGGAGGCGTGGCGTAGAATAGAAGAAAAACTGTCGATTACGTGTCTTTCCTTCCTTGAGGGCGATCGTGTAAGGTCGCACGAGCCAAACTCTTCGAGTAATTAAGAGATGACCAGTTGTGGACAGAACATTGCAGTTAATTAACACACTGTGCATCAAAAAATTGATAAAGACGCCATTTTTGACAGGTTAGCTGCTCCTTTCTATGTTAAGCGCGAATTCGGAATTTTTCAATGTAAAATTGAGTAAAGTTTTTAATGGAAAAAGCTAAAAACGAGTGTTTTTTAGGTTAGACGGTGTTTCAGTGCCAATAAATGCAAATATGTTGCTTCAAATTGTAAAAATCAACTTTTTTTCAATGTAGACAGGTTTTGCAATCTGCCTGCTAAGATTTACAAAAATGCAAAGCGAGTGGCCTCCCAGAGGAATCGAACCGACGACGTCCAGCTATGCAGTCCAAGCCACTATCCACTGCACCAAAATCCTTTATAACTCCTCCAGAATGACGTCATAGCAGATATGGATTGCGGTTTAGAGATCGCTGTCTGGGGACGGTATACGCGGTATACACCGCTTACCCAATCGTCAGTGCGATTAAGTATCCTTCCCTTGTCAGCAATTTTTTCCTGCGATGTGTGTGATGCGAGGTTTGCACACACCGCAGGAAAACCTTTTTTATTTCACCTATTTTCACCTTATTTTCACCTATCTCTGCTTAACCATATTAATCCATCAAGTAGTTGTGTTGTCGAGAAGCTCAGAAGACTGCGTTCAGATTTGTGAGGGGTACGTAGAGATTTTTGACTGCTTGCAGTGTCAGCCAAATTGTCAGCTGGGTGCGCTAGAAAACGTTCGCAGCGAAAAGTTGGTCTTGAAGCAAGCTCAGCTGGTCGGTGATTCTCTCTTAGGATCCTCGAGACCGGACGCTATGTTTTTCGTCTCTGAACAAGGATCTACGAAGCGTCCATGTCATTCGAGCGCTAAATACACGCAAAAAGAAATCTACAAAGTGCCATTTTCCATTTCTCCACCTTCATAGTAACCATTTTCATTGCATCCTCTTTCTTCAGTTACTTTGCAGTCCAACTCTTTAAATATTATTCTTTCTTCGAAGTCGTTTCTGCTCTGACTTAACTCCTTCACAAAAAGTGATATGCGCAAAAAAGTACTGATAGGAATCTCTCATCAACTCGTAAGTTTTCTCGTGCAAGGTAGTGCATTAACCAACATTTGCAGGGCAGCTGTGAGCAGCTTGATGACACTCCGTTTCTTTTATTTCACCTCGTCCCTTAGCAGCTACGTTCACCACGGGAGCTGTTTATCACACAGTTTTGTAACTGTTGATTAGCATCCTTACATAAATTAGATGCACTCCTTGGTCGCCGATCAGGATGGCTTTGTTTGCGACACTCAGGTTCTTGCATTCTATCGACAGGCGAGCGGCAGGAGCACGATGTTTACGGTGGACTCCATAGCGGCCAAAACCGTCCACCAAACCGCTAAACTCCAGTTATGAGTGTGAAGAAGGCCATAAGATGCGTGCCACGGGCAATACCAAGTTCCCCTTGTTCTTCTGCCTTCTTTTCCGACATATGAGATGAGTCAGTGGAGTATGTAAATTGAGTACAAGATGTCGAAAAACATTAATGTAATCAAAAATATTGTGGCCAGCACTAATTTCTATATAGCGAGATGATTCAACTTCTTGATTACCTTGCACAACTCACTTGCTAGAGCTTGATATCGAATTCTAGCTGGATTATTGCGTTGTCTCTGGAGTTTTATCCATTCTGTTGAACGACTTCAAAGCTTCGATGAGATAAATACTCAAAAATGCATTTGCATACGATGCAGCTTCTTATTTACTAGCAATTCATCAGTAACATTACATCGATGGTTCTTCTTTCAGATAAAACATTTTGTTATCACTGCTTTACCATCCGGGAAGGTCATGATAGAAAAGTATGCCTTCGAATCAGTCAGCTCAATGGTGGAGTATCACCTCAATAAAAAGGATTCACTCACGAAGGTAAACATAAAATATCTGCTGTCACAATCAACAAAGCATCAAGCACTAAAGAACAGAATCTTGCTGCCAATCTCCTAGCTTCTTTAAGCCAGCTCAAAAGGATAAATAGTAGATGATTTTAGTAACTAGTAAGAGTCAAACTTACATTTTTTGCATGGGAAAAATTCAGTACCAGCACCTAGTACGAACAAGTGTTGCATCGGATATTGGTTTGGTGCGGCAAAACTTTCAAGTTTATGAGAATACCAGTGCATAGCATCGCTTGCCATATGTATCATGACTTATAGTAAAGCGCTAAGCGCCTATCTTTGTGTGTGTGTGTGTTTGTGTGTGTATGCATGTATGTGTGTGTGTTTGTATTTTTGTGTATGTATGTATGTATGTATGTATGTATGTATGTATGTATGTATGTATGTATGTATGCATGTATGATATGTATGATATGTATGTATGTATGTATGTATGTATGTATGTATGTATGTATGTATGTATGTATGTATGTATGTATGTATGTATGTATGTATGTTAGTTTGTTTGTTTGTCTGTATGTCACGAAATTTATAGAAGGAGCTGCAGCCAAGCTGTCGAGCTAAAGCTTTGCATATACCCTTCAGCATGTAGGTCCACCATGCACAAGGCCGAGCCGGTTTGATGAACGGGTCCTTCAAAATTGGCGCATCAAACGGGTACACGCGGCATTTGGCACGCAAAACTAAGTTGCTAATGCAACCTTTTGCAAAGTCATTTTGGCTTGACAATATATCTGCGCCCCATAAATTGTAGCCCAAAAAGTGCTCAAAAAGTTGGTTTTTCTGCGAAAACAGCGCCAAAGAGTGTTGGTAGCGTAGATAGTCGATTTGGCATGTTTTACCTTGAAATGGAAAAGATTTTCACCCAGAAATGTAGCGCAGAGTGACTACTAGCTTTATGACGACAACCAAGCCAAAACAAATTCAGTAATCCATTCAAATTCGCATTTGTTCTTTTGCGAAAAAGTTTTTCTAACCCCAATAGGGAGGCGGTCAAGAGGCGCGATTTCGCCGGTTGAGAGCAACTTAAAAAGACTACCGACCTTACGTAGAGATGCTTCAAGAATGAACAGTAGTTTACGATCCCTTTGTGATGTTCGCATCGCTTGGTGAGTTTTAAAGTCATCATCATTATGCGACCATGAGAAAGGCATACGGATAGGAGAGCCAGTGCGAACCTCCGCGAAGGGGAGGTGACCATACCATAAAATCGGGAAAAGGCTCTCAGGTAACTTGCTTAAAAGTTCAATCTCACAGCATAGAAAGGAAACCTACCTCACCTCAGGAATACTGTGACGATGTGAGTAGGCTTGCGCCTTTTGAAGGTTTAGGCACCATTACTATGTAGCTGAAAAAAGCTAGGAAAGAGAACCAGTAGTATGATTCTACACCATTCAGATGATTCACTTTCGCACCCGACAACATTCTTGTAATAATTCAGCCAATGATCAAGATTTAGCCTATGTCTTCACATGTCGTATGCAATGCGCGAAAGAGTCGTTGTGACTGATTAACTCGTCCAAACTTTTACACAGTTCCACAGCCATTTAGATGCAAACAGTAAAGTTTCAGAACGACAATGAGGGTTTTTAATCTGTGCTCACATTCTATGATGACTTCAAGGACAGTAATCAAGTGTATGTTGAAAATTGCGCGTTTTGGCAGACAATGCCTCACTGGCCTCTACTCCATAAAAACCTGAAGATTTTATCGATTCATCAGTGTGTCAGAAGGACACATAGATTTTGAATTCGAAAACAATAAAAAGTTTAGTCTTTTTACTGTTTCTGTTGGTGCCGCAAGCATTAACATACAGCTCAATAAAACAGTACATCTCAATCAAGGTTGCATGTCCTGACGTCCTAAACCCTTCATTGTATCCATTTTCAAGTGTTACCCTTTATCTATAAGCTGCGTTTTCCGATTCTTCTGATTTCCCCCTCTCCGTGATCCTCAAATCGACCGTCTTTCTGCGCTTATCGAAAATATCAAAAGGTAGTAATGTTAATTCCAAATGTAAAGGTGCCATGCATGTTTCTAAGGAAGCCCAAATGAAATATCGGAATATTGAAATTTTGCAAGAATCACTGGAGATTCAGCAAACTTATTATCACTTCGAAATAATTGTTGTTGTCGGAAACACACTCCGTAATGTAGAGCTTGACAGTAGCATCTTTGATGTTCTTAACAAGCTTCTAGGAAAATAGTGAGTTCAAAAAAAGACAGTCAATTCGACTATGGGACCATATCTACGTCTGATCATGCTAGACTTCCTTTTTGGATATTGGTGATGCATGTGAACCTCATTGACCAGGTTCTCGCCATTTGACCGTCTACGAAGTAAACATTATCCATTGGACCCCTCCGCTTTCACGCTTACAGTTCTGTAGAAAAAGCGAAAACCTTCGTAGAATCTGCAGCAAGGATGCACCATTATAGAGCTATATGCATGCCTCTGAGGTCTCGATCTTACAAACTGTGACAATGACTGCTGAGTATGTAGACTTGTCATGTTCGATACGTACGTGTACAAAATTTTTTCAAAGATTGCAAATTGCTTTGCTTTTTGGATTCAGTGTTACATGTTGACTCAATTAAGGCACAAGAAGTAATACTACGAACCCCCATTACTCGGCAAAGTTGGGAACTCTCCCACGACGATGTTGAACTAACGAAAAAATTAGGTAACTCTGGAATTAATTAGCAGCTGATTTTTTTTACTTTCTCGTATTGTTCAAGGCGAAGGAGCCTTTGGCGAAGTTCACATGGGAAAACTGAAACTGAAATCAGGTGCCAAAGTTTCTGTTGCAGTGAAGCTTGTACGTTCATGTCGCCTCATGGAATACTCGCTAATGACGAGGTAAAGTAGTCGGTTGTTCAGGCAAAGCTTGAAGTGTTGACGAAGGAGCAGATTAAAGAAATAATGCACGAAGCACGACTGATGAGACATTTCGATCATCCAAACATTGTAAAATTCTACGGGGTTGCTGCTGGTCAGGAGCCGCTGATGGTCATCATGGAACTGGTAACAACTTTTCGAATACAACTCTTTTATTAGAAAATTTGTAAGCAAGCGCTTGCGGCGCTAGAGACTAACGGGTCACTCCGAATCCCTTCCTATAGGAGTTCCACTCTTCAATGATTCCTACAGCAAGTGCAAGTGCACAGAGCAGGTTTCGAAAGCAGATTAGCTTGCACTAGTATTGCTATTTACACGGAAGCCTTCAAAATTTCTCAGCCAAGGCTTGTTACACTAAATTCTCTTACTGATGAAAGTTGGGGGATGGGAGAATCCGATTTAAAGTTTGAAACCATGCTTGAAAGGATATTGGCTCGGGACACGTCTTTTCGTCTAGCATTATAATCATATTTCGGTGACGTTTCTTTACAGGTCAACTGTGGGGCACTTGACACATATCTGCAGAAAAACGAGCAGCCTATGGACAAAAAGAACGAAATGTGCTTGCAGGTTATTGAAAGATTAGTTACGGCACCTTATAAACAGACGATAATCTTTAAGGCAGCTTGGGGACTTGAATATCTTCACGCTAAAAACGTTCTTCATAGAGATATTGCTGCTCGCAACTGCCTGTATGGTGACAATAAGGTAGTCTCTGACTTTGCAAACCCAAAACTTCACAAGCGACCTTCCAGGTAAAAATTTCCGATTTTGGATTGACACGTGAAGGGACCGTCTATCAAATGGATCCGCACAAAAGAGTCCCCATTCGTTGGTTGGCGCCTGAAACTTTAAAAATGGCAATTTACACACAAAAAACAGATGTGTTTAGCTACGGTAAATCGATTTGAATCGAAAATCTAGATATGTTTGACAACAACCTTGAGCGTTATAGGGATAATGTGCTGGGAAATTTACAATAATGGGATTGAGCCGTATCCGGGCATGACCGTTGCAGAAGTCAATCAAAACGTAGGTTTTACCTTTATTAGAGGATGACGGCCGCTTCCCTAGAGTTTGTCTCATATGCAAAATGAGCAGGCAGCAACGGTCCTGTGACGATGTGATACACATGTGGCGATATGGCGCAAAGCCATATGGAGGGGACGCCCGTCATCCCATTTCTGGCTTATCTTAAACTCAGATAAATCAGTGGCAAGGAAATTATTTTCATGCGGAAGGGGAGGGGAAGTAAGGAAGGTGACAAAAGTTTTTGAATGAAAGAACTGGCTCAACGGGTCTCTAAAAATTGATTAATTTCTTGGAACTTGGAGAGTCAATGTCCCGAAAGCAATCAAGCCCCGAAATTTTTTTGCAAAGCTCACTTGAGTTACAAACTTTATATTTTAATTGTTTGCAATTGGAGGCAAGTCACTTCCACGTTATAGCTTATGTAAGCCACTTGCAAAAACTCGTCACCTAAATAATAGAATGGCCTTCCCCTCTACCCCTTGAAAACTAAATATGCCTAAGAAGAGAAGGAGTTAGTATTATGATTACGGATAACTTGCTGACCTTTGATTCTTCTTCAGGTCAAAGAAGGATATCGCATGGAACTTCCTGCAAACGTGCATCCTGAAATCCAAACATACATCAAGGTAATTTTCGCCGTCATACTGCTTGCAATGTCTAGATAATGGTGTGAGTTGCAAAGGTTCGATGTTGGTCTGAAAATCCAAATGATCGGTATACTATGGCCGAGCTTTGCAAGCATTTGCAACGAACCCTGCAAATTCCAAGACCAAAATTCGTGGAAAATCCACATGCTCGCTAATAAAACATATGGTAAGTAACATAATTCAAAGTCTTTGACATCTTGCTTTTCATATAGTTAAAAATGCCCAATTACCATAAATTAGTAAATTAGACCACTCGTTTGCTGTATCTGACGAAAAATTCAAGTAGTATAGTGATGTTTGCGCATACTTATATGAACTTACCGAATAAATCCGTGGGATGACTTTAAAAATTTCGCAAGCTGGATCAACAATAGGGCCGGCACGATGGAATAAAGCAGGTTGGATTTCGTTTTGGGGACGAAAGCAAAGGGGACATGGTTTTTGCGGGGTCGGGGCGAAGCCTCAGAAAAAAGTATGCGAGACAATTCAACATTCCCGTAGTGCCAAAAGCGATGACTTTTCAAGCATCAAAACATGTTATTGAACGATAGATTGCTCCATCGTGTCTTGCGAATAGCACGCGCTATTTGAAAGCAAAGCCAAAATGAACAATTTATTTGTTTACAGCGTAAGACAAGCGTATGACACCAAAGTTGGACTTTAGGTACAATAATTAGGAAAGAATTATGTAAAAAGTTCTGAAAACTTGCGTGAATTAACTTTCCAAATTTAGTCCGTTTCCAGACTGCCACCAAACGATCTGAGATCGTTTGGAGTATATATTAGGTCGGTCCGAAAGTTCGTGCCGTTTTTCAGATCCATGCTCCAGCCACTTAGAATAAAGGTAGACAGAAGCTGTTAACATAGTCCTCCTTTTTTAACGGTTATGTTTCTGTTCAGACTCCCTTGATGCGCGCTCAATAATTGGCAAGGATCTCCAACCCATGATTTTCACTTTCTTGAGTTTGGTTATTTTAAAATTTCCATTTCAAAGTTTTGGACTAGCTTTGATAACATTTAGATAGAACAAACAAAATGCGATATAGTACAGTTTTTTGGCATCTCTAGCCTGCTCATCAAATTTGAAGATATTTTTCTGATGCGTACCCAGACACTTCGATATCCAATATTTTGAGCCGCTAAACGCTTTGCTTGCTAAAATCAGCGTTAAGCGATAAACTGTTTTTCTAAGCCTCAAATTCCGAAGATTTGTCAGTTCTGAAGCGATTGTGCATCTCCAATTTCGCAAAAGTAAGAACTTTTGGAAAAATTATTTCAAGAAGTAATGAAAAAAAAGATAAGGCAAAAATAGTTTAATGTATTGCATTTTGTTTATTCTAGCTAACTATCTTCAAATATAGTCCAAAATTTGAAAACATTTTGAAAAATAACCAAACTCAGGATGGGTAAAAATCATGGGCTTGAGATTGTTGAGCGGACATCAAGGGAATCTGAACAAAAACTTAACCATTAGAAAGACTTACAACTCTTGTCTATCTTCATTCTGAGTGGTTTAAGCATGGGTCTAAAAAACGGCACAAACTTTCGGACCGACCTAATATTTTTGTAAGTATAAGTCATATAAGTTTTGGATTTTTCCATCATGAGCGGATTCTCGGTCAAGAATCTGTCCCTGAGCATGGAAACATATTGTTGTCTTTCTTTTTTTCCTCAATTTCTTGATAAATCTCTTTGTTAGTATCCTGCTCCAATGCCAAACTCTTGTGCATGCGTAGTATTCAGCTTTAATTTGGATTTTCACATTTAATTCACGTTTTTCCTGTTAAATCAGTAACCCTTCTTTATTCATCCTCTCCTAAGTCGATAGGTTTCCGATAAGGGTCGAAGGGGACTTCGTAAGATTTTTGAATGTTAAGGGGGACTTCTTTTACAAATACAAAAACCCTAGAAACCGACTCTTGCCGGGCCCTGATCAACAAGCATCGCGTGCATAAAGATGAAGGAAAGACCTCATGAGGCTCTCCACCACTAGACTGTCGCCAACAAATTTGGCTGGCTAAGCTTTCCCATTATCTTTGCTCTCTGTAAAAGCTCTACGACATCGCTTTTTCTTTCATCGTCGCTTTATCCTGCTTTGTAGCTTGCACAACGCTACTTTGTAGTGTAGGTTTGGTCAGGAATTGAATTTGTGACAAGTAGTGCTGCATATCTGCAATAAAAATTTAATGACAATAAAAAGTCTGTGGCCCCAACTGTCGCTATGCGATTCAAGTTTGTACACAAAGGCATCATAAATTTTTTGCTACCATGTTACCAATGAGCAACCTACATTATCTTTTTCGTGGCACAGCACATTCTTTCACACTAGCATGCTAATTACGAGGACATCTAGAAAAACGGCGGTAGTTAGCAATTTTGTTGTAAATAATCTTTTTGTCTTCATTGTGCCATTTATTATTATACTTTTCTTCGGTTAGATTACTGCTATTTTTTTTTCAGAAATTGGAAATCAAGTGCAAGGCTGCATTTCCACTGCTGCTTCATTTTCTATATGTAGTCAAATATGACTTTATAAATGATTTATTGATCCTCTTCGCATGAGCAACGAGAAAAGTTTTGTGTACATTTGAGGAATGTTGAATACCAAAATTTCAAATAATAAGCGAAGTGTTTTAACACCCAAAATAACAACCTAAGCACACATCAGAGACTATTCTGTGCTTTCTTGTAGAAAACGAATCTCCGCACATCAAAGCAAAATTGATACATATTTGGTTAGTCGTGGTCCTTGGATTTCGATGAATGATACTTCTTCTTGTGCTTCTTATGTCCTTTTTTATAGTGTCCGTGCTTCTTTTTCCCTAAATAACGATAGGAATGGCGGAGGTAAGGAGCGAATTAAGCTGAGTGTCAACACTAACCGTGCTTAGATTTGTAGCTTGCTTTTTTATGCTTTTTATCCTTATCCTGCTCCTTCTTCTTCTTGTAATACTTGCCATGTTTTCCTTTGACTTTTTTGAATTTGTCATAGCCTTTCTTAAACTTTTTGCCATGCTCCTTCTTCTTGCTCCCTGTTGCATACTTATCTCCTTCCTTCTTTTTCATGTGCTTTTCGTCTTCATGATACTTCTCGACGCTATATTGTGGTTGAACGTATTTATAATCGAAGTAGCCTCGCGTTTTGGTTTTCTCATCTGAAACTGATCATGTTAAGAAAGCAAACTTGACTTCTATAAGCTGAAAGCAGATTCTATTACATATCAAAACAAGTGCTCGTAGGCACCAAACTTATCTTTCTTGTAATCCGTATCAGTTTTCTTAAACTTGCTAGCTTCTTTTTCGTGCTTCTTCCCCGACTTGCGATGTTTGTCATCAGAGTTCTTCTTATATCCTTCCGATTCCTTTCCTTTATCTCCTTTATCGTGTTCATACTCATCAAGAGCATGAGATTCATGGGAGCCATCTTGAGACAATCGCTTTTTGTCGGATTCTTTATCTTCGTATGAACTGTGCTTATGTTTCTTACCATATCTGAGTGAAAACACAGTAAGCAACTGAATAATCACAGTCAGAACTCGAATGAACAAGTCTTACGGAGTAACTCACTTTTTTTTATAAGTGTCATGAAAAGCTAGCGAAAGAGCTATCAGGAGCAAGAATAGATACGCATGGAATAGTGTTGACATGATACGCACTCGCGACTGTGGTCTCGACATTATATAATGCTCATCTGGGTCACCAGCTTAGTACAAAAAGAATGCATCGTTGAGGTACTAAACAATGAAACGAGATCTGCATAACTTCTTTTTATGTGCTATGAAGCCGTGTCAAATAGCGGAGTAAGAAGCATGGAAAGGGCATTGGTGTCATTGACAGCATATTTCATGTAGGAAACAAACTCTCTCACGGATTTTCGAGGTCGACACTGCACTGTTATTTGAGTCGAACCCATGCTTGACTAAAACCTCATTACCAATAGATTACAACTAATTATTGAAACCTCATACCATCTTGGGCGATACTAGATGAACTGCATCGCTGCCCCTGTTCTATCTTGCTGTTTCCAACATTTTCAAGTATAAGGTGCTGCTCCGGTGAGTATACATGTCAATTACACTATAGTGTTGAAGAAAAACATTCTTCGACGCTGTTGGAAGTGAATTTTGCAAATTACGATTTGCTTTGGGTGATTGATATAATTTTCAAGAAAAAAATTGTGATTTCAAATATGTAATCATCGTCAAAAGAAGGTCGCAAAACGACCGTTCTTTCGAGGTCTGGAAAACTTTGCTAGCTAATTTCTGCCGCTTTCCGACTGAGCGCTCATACAAACCCTCTTAATTGACTGAATCTGGCTAATCATGTTATCTCAACTAGAGTTTCGTATGGAATATCCATGATAATTGTATGCCTTATTGTATTACCTACCAACAATAAGATGATGCAAACGTCAATGCTAATTCTACTTCAAACGGACTGTTGAGTTGATTTCACGATACTATCATTGCCTAGAAGGAAGCTAACAGCTAATATAACAGCTGTTGTAAAAATGGAATCTCAACCGAATATGTCCAATATATTAGGTTATCCCGAAAGTTTTGTCCGTTTTTTCAACCTATCATAAAAACACGAGGAATGAAGGTTTTGAAACGCTCCAAGCACTACCCGACGCGACTTTTCCTCCTCTTTCTAACTTTCATGCTTCCATGCCGATTACTCTTTTGCTCGCTGAGATAAATGCCGAAATTTCGAACCCGTGGTTTTTGCTATGTCCAAGTTTGGCAATTTTTCACAATCTTCATTTTCAACTTTTTTAAGAACTTTGATGCTCAGATAGAGTGAACAAATGGCAAGCAACGCAATTTTTTGGCTTATCCAGCTGGCTTTTCAGTATTTTTTAAGATAATTTTTTTCAAAAGTCTTCACTTTTGCGAACTCCCAAAATACAGAAACACCTCGAACACTAACAAATCATCGGATTTTGAAGCTTTCAAAAATCAATTACGATTATTCACTATTTTTACAAAGCAACTGAGCGTTTATCGCTTCGAAATATAGAATTTCGCATTTTACAGTATATGCTGAGGCGAGGTCAAATTCAAAAATTATGGAGATTTTATCGCTAAAGACCCCACAAACTGGAGGGAAAATATACTCACTGGAAAGAGGAGGAAAAGCTGCATCGAATAACACCTTAGTTGTGCGTTGTTTCATGATGTCTGGCTTTTGGCATCACCAAAAGTGGAATATGATAGCATCAGAAAAATAATTCTAAAAAATTTTCAAGTCTAGCTATAGATGCTGCAAAATTGCATTATATTGCTATATATTTGCTCTATCTAAATGTTGCCAAAGCTTTTCCGAAAGTGAAAAATAAAGATTGTGAAAAATTGCCAAACTTGGACATAGTAAAAACCATGGGTTCGAAATTTCGGCATTTATCTCAGTGAACAAAAGATTAATTGGCATGAAGGCATGACAATTAGAAAGAGGAGGAAAAGATGCGTCGGGTAGTGCTTGGAACGCTTCCCTATCTTCATTCCTCGTGCTTTTATGATAGGTTGAAAAAACGGACAAAACTTTCGGGACAACCTAATGCAGGGTGTCCCAAAAAGATGTGCACACTGTTTGATCGTTAATAACTCTCTTGCTTTCAAGTCTTTTGCCAAGCTTGAGGTACCATTTTATAGAGCGAGGATAAATTTAGAATTACAGTATGAAGCGAATCACCAATCGCTCTTCGTTACAGGATTACGATAAGAACTCTCAGCATACAGCGTCACTGTGGAATAAGCCTTTTGATGAAATAGCTTCGAAAAAATCTAAAAAATCGTGCAACAAGGTTTTCAGGCGTGCTGATTTTACTACATAATTTTCCACCAGTTTTTCGAGTTTTCTTGATGGCGTTTTCACATTTCTAACAAATATTGGAAAATCAGTTGTTACCCTAAGTCTGATATAACTCATGAAAGAAACAGTGTACTGACGTGCAATTTTCCTATTTAGAATTAGCAACTTTGATTGACCCAGTTCATGAGTTTCTGGCTTGTTTGGCTTTTTTCTGAGGCAAAAAACTGCTTCCAATAGCTCAAAATCCTTTCCGAAATTCCTACCGTAATCCTATAGTAATGAAGAGCTGCTTATAAATCCTCCATACCGTAAATCTAAATTGAACTTCGCTCTAAAGAATGGTACCTCAAGCTTGGCAAAAGACATGAAAGCAAGAGAGTTATTAACAATCAAACAGTGTGCACATCTTTTTGGGACACCCTGTATAATAGGAGAAAGCGAATAGTTAATACAGTAGTGAGGACAGCTCATAAAAGGATTTTCATTTAACCTGCTCGAAATCTTGGATCAAAACAACACCTAATTTCATCCAATAGAACATAACAGTTTGTAGCGTACTTAGTGAACGGGACGGAATGTTTGCAGACATAGTATCTCTTTTCTCGCAATTTGTAGCGATAATTTTGTCACCGAATATGTCCCTTTTAAATGAGGAACTAATTGTGAGATAAAATGTAGGTAGTACCTTGAAACTCATAGCTCTACGTTTTCCTTCGTTGTCTACAATGCGAATCCGACCCCATCAATGTCTGCTGAAAAAACTGTGCAGCACTAGATTGTGAAAATATTGGGTTGGAAACTAAGTTTTGCAACTCATCCAATAACTTTCCTCCCACTCAACATGGCGCACTCAAATTTTGTCATTGTATTGGTTATGGTGTAAGCTACAAACACAGCTGCCGTTCTACCAAATTCTGACGTCGAATTGAGGGTTACGGTAGGTATATGGTATGAAGGGAAAAATTATAAAAACAGATTTGGCTGAAACTTGACACAGAGGTTATTCGACATGCTGGTCATGAAAACGATACTGAAGTTGCGTGATAAGTGCTTTTTGTAAGATTACTGTCCGTGTACGATACAGGATCCCATCCTAAATAAGGAAAGAGACGTAAATTGAACAAATGAATATGAGATTTGTGTTTAGCAGGTCAAAGAACCATAATATGTAAAGGCTCGGGGAATCTTGTGGTTCTGACTCTTTAGTCATTGACGGTTGTCCCCAGCAGCTTACGTACAGCTTTCGAAATTGTGAGGGCGCCAAATCTCGACTTGCCCCTAAATTTCATTTCTTTTTTGGTGAGCCGAATAAGTCAACCTTTAGCAACAATTGGTATAAGATTGCGGCTAACAACTTCATTCTGCTTTAAAACCCCAAAAATTCTCAAAATTTACTAATTTTCGAAAAATGCTTGGAATTTTTCTAATTCGTCTTCAAAATTTAAACAGCTGTGGATAATTGTAGCTCACACTACGCTCTACATACTGCTCAAGTTTGACAGTGCCACATCCATAGAGAATTGAGTTATGAAAAGTAGTTGCAAAACTTATTTTCCAGCCTAATACTAGTGGTTTTCTCAAGGTGAAAGGTGGCAAGAATTTTGGTTTTTGATTCTTTCCAAAAATATTTCCAGTATACGCAGTATGGCCACCAAATATTGAAGCTTTCGTATAAATGGTTTTAGCACGTGTTGTGAACTATAACTATGCATAACGCTTTGTCGTATTTTTTGAACCTTCTGAGTAATGTCAACTGCATAAACGGTAAGAGTTGGACAAGATTGTGCGACCTTACCTGCGTACGAGCGTCCGCTGAAAACGCAGTGCAAGTCGCATACGTTGGAAACTGCCATCGCTCAGATCGGCATATTGATGTAAGCCGCATTATACTGTTCCTGTAGACATCTAGTTACACTCCGATGTGTGGTACACGTCATACGTTACCCATCTCATGCACTTGATCCACTTGTTCCACGTCGCTACGGTTCAAATCAGTG